ACCGACACATACCGTATTATAGACACGGAATGAGCTTTCGCCGTCGTGTATTATGGATGGAACACGTTTGATGGGAGAGGCCTCAAACAAGCGATCATTGAGGATGCTTGCAAAATGCTCATGCGCTTCAGTCGTTTTTTGCGTATGAATCATGAAGCCGAGCAAGAAAGAACTCATCTTTCCAGATTTCGATCTATAACCTTTCATTTATCTATATGAAAAAGAAAAAACGTACGTAAACTGGTAAGTGACTGCATATGCTAGAGTTACATATTCTCCGCTACATAAGCAAAAAGTGGTATCAATCATAATGGTTGCTCCAAAAATAGGTAAGCTGCCCAATTTGTTACAAGTGACTAGCATCTGACCTGCAAACTATTCTGTTATTATACCTCAATAGGAAAACTGACGTATGTGATGATCACTCTCAAATTCGTCCATGTCAGCCAACAGCTCTATCTTTCGTTTATGATCACTCAGCTCACGAAAATTGGGCAGGTCAACAACCAAATGTTTGAAAGAGAGGGGATACGTAACAACTTGCAGAATGACCACCTTATCATCTATAGAAAAAAAACTAATTAGAGACGATTCGGGCTAACCACAAACCGATTCTGTCGATTACGATTGGTTCCATTCGCTCTAAAACATTAGAGGAGGAAGAAAACCTACTGATAAGTTTCGCTGGATCGGTTGCAGGATATCTACCTGTCTTCAGTTTCTTATGGTTAGGGACCGAGCGACATGCACTAGTGAGCTGAAAAAAGGCGATGTATAATTCATACTCCCCAAACGTACTTCATATGTATTGACGCTGATACCATGATTTCGGAGGTACAGTTTGGCTTCAGGCTTAGTACGATTCTCCAAAGCATCCCTTATCTCATTCTGAGTAGAGAAATTTCTTCTCTTCCTTAACGTAATGTGTGGTACTACAGCAACCTACAACAAGACTTTTGAAAGTATAAAAAATAATTGGTAACCCACATTGGTATGGTAGAGAAAGTAAACGTTGGACAGAAACTCATTTTGTTCATTGTAAACAAAAAATATCTATAAATATTTTTGGTCTGATTATTCTTGAGAGTATTACTTTTCGATGCAGACTAGTAGTCCGTGGATGTGTGTGTTGGAAAAGCTTGAACACCATGCAGCCCATATCATCAGGAACAAACTGTCCATCTTGCAAGCTAACCTTCATGAAGCTAGAGTGACAATTAAGCCTGATAACTCTTCCTTGTCCATCACCTATCAAAAGTTTTTTTCTTTTTATGAGACAGTTTCTTACATGTTCTACCCGTCCAAGGATTGTAGAGATCATATGTTACGTCTTTAATATGCTTGAAACTTTACTTTTCGATTGCATACATAGTTTCGCCTTCAGGAAAAACATCATACTTCTCATGACCTTTTCGCAGAAGAACAGTCCCATACGGATTATCAAAAGTGGAAAAAAATCAGTTTTACTTACCCGAAATTTAATATATCAAGGTACTGAAGCATGTTAGTGGTATGTTAGTGAAGCTTCTACCTTAACTATTCTGCACTATAAATAACTATACGAAAACAAACAACAACAAAAGGATGAAGTTTCTTTCCATCTCAGGAAGTCTTGAACATATGAAAAACTCAAACTTATAGAACTATTTGAATATGCGTCAATGTTGACTCCAATTTCATATTTTTTACCCAAAATGTGTCAATGTTAAGATAACTATTGTGTCAAAGTTAAGAGAATGTGTCAAAGTAAGAAAAGTCGAAAATGTGTCAAAGT